TTAAATCCCCTGGGGCGCGGTTTTCCGCCGCCCGGCTCACAGCTCCGGCGCGGCTTGAGCCGTTTCCCCGCGCCGTCCGCGGGCTCCTGGCGTGCGGCTCCGCCGAGTCCGCGGCCGGCGCCGGCCACTGCGGCCGCCACTCCGAGCTCACGCGTCCATGTGTAGCTACATAGTTATCTGTGTACCTCCACGCCGGGCATTTTTCTCCTGCTTAATGAGGACTTGACTCGGGAGCCGGTGTGAATCATTGCCGGGGCTGGGAAAGGAGGAAGGCGCATTTAACCCCCTCCCACCCCGCTCCATGTCCGTGTGTCACTCGGCTCGGTCCACCTGGCGCGGCCGGTCCTGGGGCTGCTGCTGCTGCTGCTGCTGACGACGGGGGCTGCCTCTGCTGTCCCGGGAGTTCCCTCCTGCTCCGGCCACACGGCTCCTGGGGACTGTTCCTCTTCGCACCCAAGCCTCGGCCAGGCCGGCACGCCGGCCCCGAGATAACTTCTTTCCCTTTTGGAAAGCACATCCCGAACCGATCGAACTCGTGAAGGTTTATTTCTGTGGCTTGAAGACTTCGGTTCTGTTTGTTGTTATTTTTTTTTCTTTCTTCCGTAAACATCTGGGTGTATATCAAACGGCAAGATGTCCAGTAATGTCCCGGCGGATATGGTAAGTGAAGGCTAAGTTGTGACACTCTTTGATTTCATTGTGGTCTCCAATCTGGTTTAATCGGAAAGGACGCAGGCACGGGGCGAAGGTTTGCCGAGGACTGTGAAAAAGCCGCCGCGGTGGGAGATTTGGAGAAGTTGGAGCTCTGGTTTTCCTCCCTTTAGAAAGTACAGGTTTTAATGTGGATTTTTCTCATTTGGTTGTGTTTTCGAAATCACTGACGACGGGGGAGAGAGAGGGAAACGTAGCAAGGTAGCTTGAAGTGCAGGAAACATCTCCGTCTTGGCTGGAGCCCATGAACACTTGGATTTTAAGGCTTCGGAAAACGTCAGTGACAGTGGGCAGAGCCGAGGACGGATGTCCGTACCCGCACCCAGGTAGACAGGGAAGCCGGAATCGTGCCCGCTGACACTGACGAGATTAATGCAGTGGGTGCAAACTTGGCGTTTGTCGAGAACAGGTATGCACATCTCTTCCAGAAAAAGTATAGCGTACTAGAATTCGCCGTGAGCTTTTTGAGGCGCCTGGGTGCACAAGAATGGCAACAGAAACATTAAAACGTTTTGGAATTTTCAGACATCGAGGCTCACATCGGTACTTTTATGAATATTCCAGGGCCTTTTGTACCCAATATTTAGTAATATTACGTCTGAGACTTTTAAAAGCTCATGAAGCATGTTAATTGAGCCTTGGTCACTGAGAGTTGAGGACTTGAAACAAAAAATACTCGTGTTTTTTGACGCTTTTCTTTTTGTTTGCAAAGGTTAAGGTCGAGTCTGTTGCCTAACAGTAACCGTGTTGCCTTCCACTGCTGGGGGGGTGGGTTTGTGTGAGTGTGAAATTACACTTTGCAGTCCAAAAAACAAACATAGTGCAATTAACAGGAAGTTGAATAACCAGGTTTATGAAAGAATTGAAGTTAATGTAGTTAGATTCACTTAACTTGTAAGTTAACATTGGAGCGTTTGTGTATCCCAGTGTAAAAACAAAATCAAACTTTGCTGGTTAAATTTTAAAATGTTAGGTGCTTCTATAGGAGTGAGTTTCTTTTAGGGACTTTTAAAGTAAGAAAAATGACTGGAAGCTGCATATTTTGAACTTGATTTTAAGACATTTTGCTGATGTTCGATTTCCCTACCTAAATGCAAAGCAGCCAGGGTGTTCTGTCTCTCGGTTTGCCACAGGCAACCTTACATTCTCCTTCTTAAAACTTGTGCCTTGTCCTTTTAGTTTTTCTCTTCCCTCCTGGCGTGTGCATGCGAGAAGTCTGTTGCCTGGTTCAGGGTGGCTGGACGTGGTTTCCTCTACACCCTTCTTAAGGTGCCGGGAGAGATCTGTGCCCAACTGGGAAATGCTATTTTCCTTGTTTGATGAGTGATCTGTAAGCTTATCGGCTCCCGCAGATTTGTTCTCTGGAAAGCCTCCATTTTATATTGTCATGCACACAGTACAGGTTACATTCACGCTAAGTGCCATTTATTCTGTCGCAGAACTTGTAATGAAATAGATTAGTGTCATTAAAACAGGGCCGCTACTTTCTTCAGGCCCAGTGATGAAGAAAAGCTGGAATGTGCAGAGCATCAGTTACACATTGAGATGATTTGGGGAATACTGTTTCCCAGTCAGAGAGAGGTGGTGGAAGCCAATGTTGGGATCAGGGTACTGGGAAGTAGAAGGAAGGTTTTATTAATAACTGCAATGACAAAACAACTATTTATCTGTTTCAGGCTGTATGTTAAGGCCTTGATGATTCTGTGGTGCTTTGAGATCCCTTGATTAAAGGTGATAGGCAAGGGCAAAAGCACTATTATGTAATAAACATATAATGCCCTGATGATGCTATTTCAGAGTGTGTAGTAAGTAAGGTGCAGCTCAGGGTATTTGTTGTCTTGCTTTCTAGTTGTTCAACTTGTCGGTTTAAGATTTTTTTTTCTGTTACAGCCTTTTAAACCTTCCTTCATTTGCTGTTATTTACACTGCATTTTGCTTAAGTGCTTTCATATGATAATGTGCCTAGAATGACCAACTTTTTGATATTTAACATGATACATATTGGCTAGAGGTTGTCAATGAAATACTTCATATTTGTTACAGTTTTTATCCAAGTAATTGACAATTCATTTGAATTTACCTTTATGACTTACAGTGAGAACAATTTACCACTTCTTGAATCTTAAAAAGCCCGTCTCACCACTCCCACGTCTTTCTACAAACATTTCCCTTGCAGCATAACTCTAAATTGATCAGGATATGTACTGTTACAATCCACTCAACTCTCAAGTATGAATACATACACATTTTGCTATAGTAAGGAAATGTAAGGTATTAAGTAAAATATTAAGCTCAGTGTTGACAGCTAGTATGTGCTATTTAGAAACAAATGTAACCCTCTTTTACATTTTAATGGTGCTTGTCAGTTGGATAGGAAGATCCTGTTTGGGAGAGGGGACTGGGCAGTGTAGTTCTAACTTCTGTCAGGTTTTCATTAGAGATAATTCATTTGTGAGCTACAGTATTGCTAAATCAATTGATGTTTTGGGTAAAGTCATCTTATGGCTGTGATTATGACTCACTTTAAAATAGATTTCTAGCATCAGTTTTGTTTTGTCAATAGAATTCAAATGTAAAATTTATCTTTAAACATTCAGTATGTTTTTGTTTATCATAAGGAGTCTCTTTCTTTCTGTTTTTTAAATAGTTTTTGTTATAGGCTCTCCGGGGAGAGAGAGAAGGAAAGTAAGAAATCGCTCTTGGGGGTGGGAGTTGACAGTGGCCACACTGCAATCTCTTTTTCTCTATTTTCTTCTCAGGATTTTGAGCACACTTGCACAAGTACATGGCATGTTTTTCCAAGCCACCAGATACGGAACGCGAACTGTGTAGTTGGTCTTGTGGGATCCTTCTGCTTTGACTACCACATCACTTGGCTGGTCCAGGGAGTCTCATTTTTTATAATCCAAATTTAAGTCCATGTTTTTGGAGAGTGATTTGCTGTATTAAAAAATAACTTGCAGGTTGTACTTTTCCAATAAATGTTCTGTGATATGTGTGTGTTATTAATATTATAAATGTGTTTACATGAAATAGTTTTTTTCTTTGGTAACAGTAATGATGTTTGAATTAGATTTACCGGCATCTTTTTTTAAAAGAGAATTATTTATTTACTTAATTTCATATGTTATTATTATTTTTAAATTTGACCAGACAGAGAGAGAGAGAGAGAGAGAGAGAGAGAGAAACGGAAAGCGAGAAAGCAAGCTGCCAGGTCTGGGACTCGAACTGCAGTCGGCCACATCGGAAACCAGTGCTTTTACCCACCATGCCATCTGCCTGCCTTGATTTACTGACATCTTAATGTGGTAATGCACTGGTGAAAAACTGAAAATATCTGAACAGAGTATCATGCTATTTAAATATTCATTTCCTTTTTTTTTTTTTTTTTTTTTAAATCCCACAGCCAAAACCATAGTTCATCCATAGTTCATGATGGGGCAGTATTTGTTCTTTACAACTGTAGCCTGACTTATGTTAATGACTATAGGTTTCCTGCAAGGAAAAAAAGTTACTGTTCATAAAGAAGGTCTAAGACTGGGTAGATCTTGGTAATTTTGTTTTCTAGACTAGGGGAGTTATCAAGAAATACATTCTACAAAGTTTGGGCTACTATTTAGCATTTTGGATTAAATGATACTTTATGATAACTATTAAATTGAAAACTACCTAGAGAGAAATGGACAGTGTGAGAATAGTGGCAAATCAGTTTTGGTATTTTTGAAACATTTTAGTTAATCAAACAGTTAAAGGAAACCTTGTATCTTTTAAAGCCATTAATGTGGAAGTTGCAGATGTAACAATTTGTTGTCTCGATTTAACTGAGATAATGACAAATCAAGGTTTTTCAATACATTTTATGTGCTTAATGAAATTTTTATTGTAATTTTTGTTAAAACCATTCTTCCATTCATGAAAGAATATTGGAGCCCTCTTGTGGACAGGAAATTACTAAAATGGATTTTCTTTCAAAGTGAACTTTTATCACTTTTCCAAGTTAAAGTAAAACAAGTTATGTAGAATTTACCAAGGAAAAATTCCATGCCAGGAAAAGGTCCAGAGATTAGTGTTTTTTCAACATTGAGGTCAAATGCCAAATGATTTTCTCTCTTTCAGCTCCTTTTTATTTTACTTTCTCTTGCTAAATTCTTGCTTCAGGTCTAAATTGTGAGGTTTTATGAAGCCGAAGGGTAGATTAGTACTGTTTACATATATGCATGTGACTTGATTAATAGCTTAATAAATAATACATCTCTAACTGAATGTTTCTCCAGGTTGTTTTGTTAAATGTGTCTCATATTGCATGGTTTTTTTTTTTTTTTTTAGAGGTTTTTGCTATAGGGCGCGTGCGCTTGCCAGACAGACAGAGAGAGACAGAGAGATAGAAAGCAGGAAATCCCCCCGCAGGGGGGATGGCCACACCGCAATCCCTTCTCCTCCATTCTCCTCTTGGGATCTTGGGCACGCACGCACACGTGCCCGGCGTGAGTTTTAAGCCACCGGGTTCGGGACGCGAACCACACTGCTGGTCCTTTACTTGCTTTATTAATAAAAATGTTTTACTTCAAAACATGCAATGTGAGGGACCAGCAGTTCGCGTAATGGCTATGTCGCTGGACTCCCACCTAGTCGACTGCTGTTCGCGTCCTGGACCCGGTGGCTTAAACTCATGTGGGGCGCGTGTGCGTGCGTGCCCAAGATCCCGAGAGGAGAATGGAGGAGAAGGGATTGCGGCATGGCCATCCCCCCTGGGGGTGTGATTTATTGGGGCTGGCAAGTGGCTTGGTGGGTAAGGGGGCTGGACTCCTACATGTTTGACTACGGTTCAAGTCCTGGACCTGACAGCTTGCTCTCTCTCTCTCTCTCTGCCCCTCTCTGGTCAAATTGAAATAAATAAATGAATAAATAAATAAAGTTAAATAAAATAATTGAAAGAAATAAAGCAAGTA